GATATTCTGCCACCATGCGGCTGAGATGCGGCCACCGCTAGCCGCGTCTGTCGAATTTGGTCTGGCTACCCATCGCCATTTGGTTATAGTTCTCTGCGAGACCTTTCGGGTAGCGTGTCTATTTACATCATTACGTACTGTAGAGGCCTCCGGTCGGTGCCGCTGATCCTGGACGGTCTGGGACGTTGCGTGCGAAATTGTCATGTTTAACAGTTTCTGAGCTTTACCTCGAGGCGGCAAGAAGAGGGATGATGAGGATGAGGATGAGGATGAATATGAGGATGCTGATGCTGATGATGGTGATGATGATGGATGGCGATGATGTTGATGATGATGATGCTGATGATTATGATGCTGATGATGATGTTGATGATGCTGCTGATGATGATGATGCTGATGATGATGATGCTGATGATGCTGATGATGATGATGATGCTGCTGCTGCTGATGATGATGATGGTGATGATGCTGCTGCTGCTGATGATGATGATGATGATGATGATGATGATGATGATGATGATGATGATGATGCAGCTGCTGCTGCTGCTGATGATGATGATGATGACGAGGAGGAGGACGAGGCGGTTGAAAAGGAGGAGGAGGAGGAGGAAGTTGGAAAGTTTGCCTCGTGTCCGTCTGTCGAGCTTGTTGGCGGACCAGTTCTCCGACGGGTTGGCTCTTTGTGGGTGTTTGCAGGGGTCGGGGCGTGAAGAGTGCGTCTCATTCGAAGGCACCTCCCCGTTCTCTCGCAATCGTCTTTTCCCGGGTGGCCTTCGATGCATCCCGCCACCGTGCCCAGGCTGCGGGTCCGAGGCTCTCTGGAGGCTCGTTGGGGATCTCGTGGGAAGCTTCCCGGGGGCCTCCGGGAGGCGGTTCTGAAGCCTCTCTTGGGCGCCAGCCTCTTTTGGGCCTCTTGGGGGCATGTTGGGAGCCCCCTGGGGCTTCTCGGAGGCTTTGTTCGGGCTTCCTGGGAGCCGTTGGGGGCCGAAGGCTCGAATCGTCGGTTCGTGTTCCCCTTCTTGGGCCCCTCTTGGGACCGTCCTGGAGCAGTGATGTGGCGTCTTGGACGCCGCTTGGGCCCTTACGGGGCACTTTTGGGCGTCGTGGAGCTTTCTTGGGGCCCTCCTGGGCTGTCTTGGGGCGGTTTGTGGGGCCTCGTGAGCCGTCTCGGAGCGATGCCAGCTCGAAGAGGCAAGAACCCCAACAACACGAATACGCCTTGGGAGGAAGCCATGACGTGTGCCATGGGGGGCCCTCTTGAGGGCCCGCTTGGGGCGCTCTTGGGGCCTCCTAGGGGGCCTTTCGGTCTGCCTTGGGGCCACCGTGGGCGTGCAGGAGCTCTCTTGGGCCGTCTTGGCGGCACTGCCCCCTCCCCCAGCAGAGCCCCCCCCGCCCCCCCCCCCGCAGAGCTGAAGCTCAGGCTGTAGCTCCCGGAAGCTCACACGCCAGGTCGGCGGATAAGTATGTACCTCTGCACGTGCAGGTGTATGTATACGCTACATGTGCGCACTCGTCACTTATCATCGTGCTCCATCTGAGTATGCAGAGCATCCAGTTGGTGCGCTTGAACATTGAGGGAGAGAGGAGGAATGAGGAGGAGAGGTGCGATGCTGGCGAGGGGGAGGATGAGGAAGAGGGGGGGAGGAGGACCGAGGAGGACGGGGGCCTGAGCAAACTCAACATGCGTCAACTATGCTGCAATACTCCGGAGGGAAAAAACACACAGACACAATCAATCGTCGATTCCCCAGAAAATGTGGGAAAATATGGGAAGTGGGGGAAAGACGAACACCCAGAAAATATGTGAACATATGTAGAATCTTGTTATTTGTGTGTATTTACTTCTGTGCCCCAGGGCCCCTTCACATACGCCCTCCCGTCCCAAGTCCTTTCCGCACACGTCCCCGCAGGCCATCTTTTCTTCCCTGCGAGAAGGGCCCCCTTGAAAGACCAGCACTCCGTGGGCCTACCATTCAGGAGGGCGTGTCCCTTTACAGGAGGAGTACTCAAGAATAGTAAAAAAGCCTGGAGACGATTATTGAGTATTTGTTTTACTATTTTGGGGCATTCTTTACACTTTAAATGTTTGTTCAAACTCCGCCTGTAGGGGGACATGCCCGACCTAAGCCTACCATTCAGGCGGGAACTCCGTTTGAAAAGGAACGCGAAAAAATAGGATCGTACAGTTCAACATCTAGATGGTAAGAAACTGCATAAGTTTGGTATCGTTTAACCGATCCCCACCCCCATCCCCATCCCCTTCGAGACCCCACCAAATTACCACCCCAGTTGGGGATACATCCCTCGAAGCCCGAAGGGAACGACGTATATCCCCATCTAGGGGGGTAAATCGGTCAGTGGGGCCCAGGCCACGCCGCTGGGGATGGGGATCGGCTGACCGATACTCATATAAGCATCAACTCTTGGAGGTCCGCACAACTTTATCGGATCGGCACTGATCCCCCTCTGCTGACGCCGCATCGCCGCTGCATCGGCGATGCCCGCGCTCTCCGCCTCCTCCGCCTGTCCCGTCCTCGCTCCTCCCCGAGTGGCTGCACGAAATATTACACACCAGAGAAAACTTCATCAGTGGATGGTTTTCGCTAAGGAGATCGACGGGGAGCCCGGAAGCCCCGGAACCCAGAACCCACCGAACTCGGCCCCGAACCAATAACCGGGAAGCCAGGAACCCGGGAACCCGGGAACCCAGCCTGCTACCAAAATTGGCGGAAAATTTTCGCCAAATCTTTCAATTTCCGCTAGGACCCCTTCAGTGCATGCACTGACTGGGGAAATATACACTTCGGTGGCCATCCGGCGGAATGTGGTGGCGTTTGCCCGGCCGGCTTCGGGGTGACCTTCCGGAGGCCTCCAGAGGCCTTGTAACGTCACCGGCCTGGGGCGGAAGGTCGGGCGGATGTTCATCGCCCCAGCGCGCATGGCAATCGAAACGGTCACCAGTGTTGATTCCAGTGGCCCGATTCAGCGCTGCAGCATTATGCCGTCCGTACACTTGCCACCCAATTTGTATATCACAAACTGGATGCGGAGACGTCGCGAAGCAATTCGCCTGAGCTGGCCGGATGGTCCGTGATGCAGCAGAGACGTTCGTCGAGGTCAATCCTTATCCCCTCCTCCCTCCTACGCTCCTTTGCTCCTCTTCTCCTTCCCTCTCGCCTTCATGTGGCTCTTTTTCCCCCCGCTTCGCGGCGGGGCCGGTCCAGTGGCTGGGCGGCCTGTGTTTTTTGTTCGTCTCGTCTATTTCCCGCCTCCATGCCGCTGCCGCTTCTCCACCATCCGCCATCACGGTATTTTGCTTGTCTCGCTACGGCTGGAGCCGCGCTCGTTGGGGATTTCCGAGCGTTTGGCCTTGACCGTTCTCTCCTCCCTCTTTCTTTCCTTCCTTCCTTCCTTCCTTCCTTCCTTCCTCCTTCTCCTCCTCCTCCTCCACCTCCTCCTCACCCTCCTCCTCCCTCTCCTCCTCCCCCTCCTCCCCCTCTTCCTCCTCCTCCTCCTCCTCCTCCTCCTCATCCTCCTCTTCCTCCCCTCTCCCTTTTCGAGCTGTCCGCGCCGTGCACGCTTACGTGGTGAGTCGCGTAGCTTCGCAAGGGGACGCAAGGGGGTGTCATCATGTTCCAACCTACTTTAGCCTTGATCACGAAGAAGAATGTCGAGCCCCCCGAAAAGTACCAAAATTCAATGGTTTTCACGTGTCGGGCCCTGGGAAACATTCGTCCGACACTGTTTCGACACTTTTCCGGGCGCCCGAAATTATTTCTGGGACGTGGTCCTGAAATACGACGGGAGCAACATAACACTTGTGGGCAGAAGTTTGGGCCTGAATGTTGGCCCCGCTCGCGGGACAACCCTGCACTTGTCGGAGGCGGTCGCGCGTTCTGCTGTCACTGCGCAGGCCAGTGTCTTGCGCGTTGGCTCGCCTATTGCAGGCATGGCCCTCGCGGGAGTCCGGGCTTGCCTCGTGCACTTCGCCAGCACACCGGGCTCGCGACGGGAGGCCAAGGGCCCGTGGGGTGGGCCGGCAGGCGGAAGAGGGGCCGGGCGGAAGAGGGGCCAGGCGTCTTCGCGCCCGCCTTCTCGCCGTCCTTGTCCACGACGGGCTCAGCGTCCTAGCCCAAGTCGAAGCCAGCAGAGCCAAGCGATTCGGGGTCCCAGTCGTTGCACAGCTGGTCGCGCTTGGCCTCTTGGAGCATCAGCGCATCCTTGATGAGCTTCCTCGGCATCGTGGCTTAGCTGTGGCAATCTGCCATCATGAGCCTCCACTTAGCTGCCAGGACGTCGCACACTGTCGATGTGTTGTGGTCGCTGAGTTCACTCATGGGCTGGTTCTTGGCCACCTTCTTGAAGCACTCGCAGATGTTACTCCACGCTGGGACTCCTCCGCGTTCAGTGTGCTTGAAGAGCAGCTCCAACACCTTAGACTTCGCCACGAGTGCGTCCAAGTCGGGCTCCCACTTGGACCTCTTCTCTGTCTGCCTGTCGACGGGCCCTTTGGTGTTGTACGCCATGGGATCCAGCAACGTTGAACTAATATTCTTCGTCCGAGGTCCTTTTCCCCTGTTCACGAAAGAGGTCACGTATCGCGCGGCTGCAGCATCTGAATCTAGACGGGGAGCGCAGCCCCTCCGCTTCGTGGGCGCGCTCATGCGTGTATGAGATCTCGGAAAGTGTCTGGCTTGAGCTGAAATTGCTACGGAAAGGGACGGCCCGGACGGTCGTTTCTATCTGGTTTAGTCGGGTAGATTTCCTGGCTCAACGGAGTCGCGGTGACGGTTGTTTCCGAAAAGACCCGCTTATCGAAATTTGCCCAAGGCATCGTGGACCAATTTGCCAGCCCTCCCACCCCCATCAGTTGAGAAGGGGCCCCTTCCTATCCAAGTGCCCTCCCCCGTTGTTCTGAAAGGAAGCGCACCCCCTTCATTCCCCTGCCAGCCACCCCTGAGTCAAACCATTGCCGTTTGGAGTGTGGGGCAATTTTCTTT